ATATTAAGAGGTGCCATTGGCAAGCGAAGCCACGGTAAAGTGTTTTAAAGAGTAGTAATTAATATTTGTCGCACGTAGTCCACGAGAGGCACAAAGTCTATATTTCAGTTATTATATAGGTCCCCGGGTTATGAAGACGAGGACGACCACCAGATATGGACGTTAGCTGCAACAAATAAGCGGTCACAAGTATGCAACGAGAAGACCATCAGGGTGTGGCCGAGTTAATGCTCGACAAGTTCGATCCTCAGAAGAAAAACGCCAGAGCACCCAAGTGACAGTCTCATATGCAGGTGAAAGCGGCCGGCCCCTTCGAACAAGCAAGCCGCTAATGTAGCCACTGCCTTGCGGCTGATGTCGGTTCGTCAAAAGACACAAGAGACAATTTCATTCAAAAAACGGAAAGAAACAGAGGAACTGTCTGTAGAATTTCCCATGCGATCGTCAGCCAGCCCTACCAGCGGGTGGCAAAACTTCATGTGCTAAGACAACACGAATAAATGGCCCTCAGTACGCTCTGTGTTCCTCGATCCGTTCATGGCGGTGGCTCGGTGTTCCACTGGCAGCTACAACTATAGAACACTAACGAGAGAAGAAAATTTCGACCAACTAATGAGGGAAAGATCAGGAACAGGAATTCTATGTCCTTGGCCTCTGCGAGACACTAAGGCATCTGGAAAAATGGAAGGGTAGTTCGGATTTGTAGCCAGCAAAAACTGGCCCTCCAAAATCGCCTCCTGCCATGTGAAACCACCAAAGGTGGAAGTACAGTGCATCGAACTGAACAAATCGAGGACCTTGAAGATCTTCCAAATCAATGCTTTCATAAGTACTGAAGGAGGACGAGGAGGAAGTGAAAAAATTAAATCAGGACTTGGAACAGGCACTGATCCCAAAGTCCACGTAAAACCTCGTCATGGGAGACTTGAAAATTCAGTTTCAAGTCGGACGAGGAGTGGCCGGTGAAACACTTCTCGGAAGGTAAGACACCGGAGAGCGGAAGGAACGAGGAAACCAGCTGGTAACCATGGCAGAAACGAAATACCTGCACAACGGCAGCAGCCAGTTGAAGAAGCAGATGGACGTGGATCGTGCCTAACGCAGCAACAAACAACGAAATCGACCTCGCTCTGTTCGTCAAACGGCGCATCATCTGAGACACAGCAGCGGTACCATCACTTAACACCGACAGTGACGAAAGACTGGTGCAAGCAACTCCAATTTTCGAGGAGAAACTCGTGAGGAAAGTGCTGCAGATGGCAAATCGCCCACGACGACCAAAGGTATTCGACGGGGCGGTGCTCCCAGCGCGCATTTTCAGCAAATGCCGGAGGCTGTACGGCAGCTGCGACGACGACTACGAGAAATTCGCCGAGAAACTGAGGCACGAGTGAAATCGGCCGAGGTGGTAGCGTCAGAGAGCGAAAGGGAAAACTTCAAAAGAGACCGAGTTTGCTACAGAAGCGCAGGAGGATGCACGGAGTTGAGAGGTCATGATGAGGTATTCTCTTCATTGCAAGCTCATTAACGAAAGCTGAAGCAGCACTTCGAGGCGTTCTGATTGCGAAAATAGTCGAAGACCACTGAAGCCTCCGACAGTGAGGAGGTAGGAGAGAGTTGGCGCTTTATCGGTCAACCACAGCAGCGTTGAAGAACCGGAATGACGCATCAACGTCTGACAGAGTTGACATGCAGTCTGTCTGCATGAACTTTTGTACGCAGCTCTTTGAGTCCAGCTCCTACCATCGCTCCAACAGCCAGAATGACGGGCAGCACAGGTCCTCATACGAGAAATCTGACCGGCAGCGTCGTAAATAGAAAGAAAAGGAAGAGCCCCAGGGAGAGACGGGTCTTACAATTTAAATGATCGGAGTAAGTGGTCACATGTTGTAAAGGACTGTAGCGGTGATATTTAGTTACTACCAGAAAAACGGAAAATATGCCATCAAGCTGGAAGCAAAACAGTGGTGTGTTCAAGAAGGGAGAGAAGCAAGATCTGAAGAACTATAACTCAATCTGCCAGCTTTTACAAGTCTACAAGCTGTTCACCAACACCCTGAACAAGTCTGTAACTAAGGAGCTAAGGGTAACATCATTACCTTAAATCAAGTGTTCGAGCGCGAACACCAGCTCCCTCTGCGTACCGCCTTGGTCAACAACGAGAAAGCGTTCGACACTGTGAGTACAATGCAGTGTGGACTCCACTGGCAGAAGAGGGCATTGTCATCCGTTACTTCAATCTGCTAAA